TGATGAACTGACCATGACCCCCATTCCCCATCCTCCTGTGGCGCTTGGGGAGAGGAAGTAGAGAAAATCAGGAGTGAAGTTGAGCCTGGGAAGAAGGGAAGGGTGGGGCAAAGGTATTTTAAGATTTGGTTTTATTTCTCATTACCCTACTCTGATTTGGTTGGTAATAAATTAAATTCATTTCCCCAAGTTGAATCTGTTTTGCCCATGATGGCAAGTGGTGAGTGATCTCTCCCCGTCCTTAGCTGAACCCATGAGCCTTTTGTTGTATTCTCTCCCCTGTCCAGCTGAGGAGGGAAGTGATAGAGCGGCTTTGGTGGGCACCTGGTGTCCAGCCAGGGTCAACCCACCACATACCTGACAGTTTAGGATTCAGATTAAATACATATGTGGGAATTTGTAAGAATTTGTTTAGGGATGTAAAATATGCATCATTGACCAGTTATTCAGCACATACATTGTTTGCATTTGCTAAAGTGCTTGTTTTTGTTTAGAAGTTTAAATCCTCAAGACCAAACACATTTACTAAGATCTGCAATTTAACTTACTTCTGGCTCCTGTATTTTCTAGTAAAATGTACTAAATAATTATACTGTTCCACTTCAACACTCTGGGGTCATTTATTAACAGCAAATAGCATCCTATAATCTAGCATATGGCTTTGTAGCACACACATGTACATGTGTACATGGCAAGGCAATACAGGAAGCATTAGGAAAAACTATGATACGCATTTTTCCCCCCGCTTAGAGTTAGAAATGTCTGCACAGGAAGTTGGAGGGGAGATGAGATGCAGTAACATTGCATCATACCACACTGAATTAACACAAAAACATCATTAAGCCTTCTTTCACTAAATTCAGTAGTTTTTAATCACAGTAATATTTCTGGGCACAATAGTATGACTAAATTTTAAGTTTTCCACAGGCAAAGCAAACCCTACTGCACGGAGTGAGATTTGTTTCCCATCGTGATTTGCTGTTTGTACAGTAGGCAAGCACACAAACACCTGAGAGATTTTGAAGTATATCTAAAAGGAATAGGAGACTGACCTTGCTATGGCTTTCAGCCAGAATACATTTGAACTCAATTTTCCAAGTGTAAAGTGTTTTTTCGTACAGCTGCTACATGTTGCACCCCTCCATCCTGTGCCTCTCAGTGGGCATTTGATCTCCTTACCAGAGTTGGAAGTTCTCTCATCACCGTATCTAGACCCAGCCTTTCCTG